AAAAAACCTAGCAGTTTGTTTTTAGATTAAAAGTCATGTAAAAGATGCAGACAGATTCCATGTTCTCATAACTCATTACAAACTTCTTGGAGGGTATACCTAAGTCTGTGTAAACAATGATTTTTTAAAAACAAAATACATTCATTTGGGGCTGCAGCAATGATTTCATAATACAACTTGTTTGTGCTTTTGGTGATATGTTAACTGTAATGTCGAAACCAGATGATGATTTCATTAAAATTTTTTCTGTTATTCTATTCAAACAAAAAACCTGCATTTCATAGCATAATAACATGGTTATAATTACACATAGTACACTTGATGGTACATGTTACAATAAATTCATGTTTATGAAATTAATATTATGTTATTTTTGCCCTGAAGCATAAATTTAGAATCACAAATTAACATTTAATTTGTAACAAATTTACCAATATGAAATGTAAAGAAAGGCTTTCTTAATATTTTAATTCAATGCTGGTGTATGAAAATCATGCAAAATCTTTGAAAGAATTGTTGTTTTTGTGTATGTGAATAAAAGTGCATTGATGAAAGTTATTTTAGAAATAAACATCTCAACTAAAATTATGTTGTTACAAATGCAAAGAATATAAACTTCCTGAAACCATAACTTAAAAAAAAATCTCTTGTACAAAACCACACTTTGATTTATTCAACTCAAAATGTTTTGCTTTCTTCACAGTAAACCCATTAACTGTTGCAGGAGCAACTCAGTTGCCGTTTACTGACTCGCAGATAAAACTGAGTTGCCATCAATCACAATAAAATGGTAATTATCGTCATTCGCACAGAGTTATAGTTATATATGTGCGACTGATGGATATTTCTGTCATTCACAGCAGAGCCATAGAACTTCAATGATGGAAATATCTGTCATCCGCAGTTAATGGGTTAAGACAGGTTGAAGCAATTGTAAGCATTTGCCAGTTGAAAAAGTGAAATTGTTTGTTTAACAGAAAAGTTCAGTATTATTTATAGCTAAGAAAATGTTTTGGTGGAGTAATGTACAAACCACTTGCCAGAAACTATTTTTAACTTGTATTGAGAAGTGTAATACACTTTACCCAAACTTCAAGAAATCATGGGAATGGTTGTGAAACCTATTCAAGTTTATCTGATATTAACTTGTGAAGCTGCACAATAGTAAACCATAAGTCTTTGGTTGTCACTGATTTATCATCATTAAGATCATGTAACGGGGAAATGTACTGAGAGAGAAATGTGTTAAGTTTTCCATGTTTTGTTTTATTTTACTTATAATGTTTTAATTGTTTTACATTAAACATACATGTGTTTTCTTTAAACAAATACATGCTTTTGTGGTAGACCAAATGGTACTTGAGAAACTTGTAATGTATGAATATGTATTCACTAGTGTAATAAGTTTTTTATATATATTATCATTTATACTCTGGTATTTAAAAAAAAACATTCAACACCTTCCCTCTTTAATATTCTTATACCTTTGTATGAAACTTTCCATTTCTTTATGTGTTTCTACTCTAGAAGTGATTAACTTAAAAAGTCATTTATTTTTCTTTAATTACAAATATTTTAGCAGTATTGAAATGTCAGACACGTACTTTAGATGTTCCTATGATGGTGATGACATTTTTTAGGTTATAACATAAAATATAATTAGACGAAGATCATCCATAAACATTGATGTTGAACTTCTTTTTCCCAGACTGAATGACTACATATGAACCTGAAATTGAGAGATATGTTACACATGAAGGGTATCATTATTGAATAACTAGTTACAATGTAATATATATATTATTTTTTTTTGATAAGCGATAACTTGGAATCTCTAAATGGAAGTTTCGTAGCATACTTCCTTGGTATTGTAGATTTACAATTACAATTTACCCAAAAAAACTGGTTGACAGGAAATTACATATGATTGCTTAATAGAAATTTAGAACTTCTATTAACAAGGCAGAAAGAAGTTACCATACATGGTATGAAATTCTGTATATTTATTTGACCCTGACATGTCACTAGTCAGAGTAGCATGTTTTTTATCTGAAACTAAAATGTACTTATTTTCTAACAAGGAAAAAAACGAAAAGAAAGTCTGATCAATATTTCCAGATGATGTTTTTAATAGAATAGGAAGCTGCTAATGAAGATGACTGTGGAAATATCACACAAATATAGTAGATTTTTTTTTGTAGGTTTGGAATCAGAAGATTTTTCACTGAACATTTATTTTGTACTTTAGTGTGTTTTAAACCAGCCTTAAACCTTTAGATTTTTTTGTTGTTGTTTTCAGTGAGCAGTAAATTTTAATTGAAAACATATCTATATACATACAGACTTACACATACAAGTGTGTGTTGGACGTGTATATTTCCTCTGTTATATCTCATATCGAAAAAAACAAATACAAAATGTGTTATTTGTGATAGATTAGTGTAACACCATACTTTTTTTAATATTTCAGTTTGATGTTTGTTATAATTATGCAGTTTAAACAGTATACTCTGAGATGTTAATGTGCCATAAGGAACTTATCTGTACGTTTTTTAAAAGTACTGAACTCTTACTCTCATCTTTAATATAAAAATAGTTTTCATAACCATTCTCTAGTTTAAAATACTTACTTTTAATTTAATCATATTTGATCTACATATTTGTGCTGCTAAATAAATATAAAAGTAACTTATGGCACATTGCTTTACAATTAAAATTAACCCATAGTACAGATGCTTTTTCTAGTGATTAGGTGTATCATGATGATAAATGATTTCAGAGATTCAAGATAGCTGAATGAAACTAGCCTTATATTCCTTATTTTAGGAATATGTATTGTAAAGCAGTTGCAGTGTTTAACATAGTCTCTCCTCAGGATCTAGTTGTTGGTGCCATTCACAGTGCAAATGGTAAATTCTGAATGTAACTTGTGGTTTTCCAGAGAAATACTTAAAAAGTAACAGTAGATAAATAAATAAGTTTAATAATTTGTAAAAAATGGCTGTTAAATTTTTCTCACAAAGAAAGCTACAGTTTTATATATTATTAGCAGAGTACATCTTAGAAGTGTTATTTCTATTTGATTGTAAATTGTTAATATGAATTTTGAAATGGAAGCAGCCCAAACACTTGTAAGAAAAAGCAGTTTTTTGAAAGGCATGACATTTTTTATCAGCTCAAAATTTTAGGTAAAAAATTCAATTGGTTTTGTACTAATAACAAAGGTTTTCAGTCTCAGATTGACATTTTTTGTTTTGAAAAATGAATAAAATTCTAATATAGTTGTGTGCCTTTATTTCAAATAAAGTATCTGTACCATAATACAAAAAAATTAAGAATTACCCTTCATTGTACTGTAAAAATTTTTGAAAAAAAATCATCAGCAAATGTAGGTTTGTGTTAGATAAAGTAGGCACAAGGATCTGAACTAGCAAAAATTGCTTAGTAAAATTCTGAGACTCGCAAATTAGCATGTTTTTCTTCTTAAATAATGACATATACACACACATATATATATATTGTGTGCACAATGTTATGGGAGATTTGGTGGTGAAAAAATATTAAATTCGCTTATGAAAACTGCTAAAAGTAGATATTTGGGTATGCTTTTAGAAAGTATCCTGGATGTGGAGTTATATGTATAGTATAGTTTTACAGAAGTGATTCAGCTTTGGTATATATAGTGAAATGTATGTGGTCTGCTTTCTTAATTTGTTTAACATGTGTACCATTTAAAAATAACTTCAAATAAAAAAGATTTCTGGAAAATATCAGAAGTTGGATGAAATTGATAATGATGGCACACCTGAAAAAGTTGAAACAGGTTTGTAAGCATAAAGAAGAAAATTAACCTGAAAAGTAACTATGTACTGTTAGCACATTTGTAATTAA